CAGAGATGAGGTGATGACTAGCAGCCATGGGACATACAGATGTGAACCAACCCGTGACAGTGTCGCAGTCATCAGTGAGACAGATCCAGCCACGTGGAGGAAGTTAGAGTTGAGTGAGTGACACCATGGTTGACCAACTTCAGCGAGAGATCATGCATCAGCGAACGGATATATTGCGCATCAGCATTATAATGAGACAGCTGGTCAGCGTTGAAGTTCCCCATGATCAGTTTCTGGCTGTAGCCATCTAGAGCTGCCGCCAGGAGCTCAGTAAAGTTGACGGGTACGTGGAAGGGAGCATGAGGCGGGTGATAGATGACTCTAACGAAGACCGGTGAGGTACCCACAGGCTGTATCTCACAGAAGAGATACTCCACATGCCCTGGCTTACCCGCCCAGACAGTCAGAGGCAGCAATGACCGTGGCTTTGACAGAATCATGGTAATAAATGCCAACACCACCGCCATGCTCGTTGCGCTCACGTCTGAGTAAGTGATAATTGGGAATATTAAGGATGGAGCTGGGGATGGCAGCTAATAACCACGTTTCTGTGACCACAATAATATGATAAACCAAAGCCTGTGAGCTGAGAAAACTTTTAATAGTGTCAAGACGACGGCGAAGAGAATTTACATTCAGACAGCAATCATGAAGCTGATTATTAGAGACGGTAGTTGAAGTGGAGCTCCCGAATGACTTGACAGCTTCTGATTGAGGTGTGGAAGAAGAAGAAGCCTGTTGAAACGCCAGTTGGCGTGAGGAGTGAGTCCTAGGGGCTGAAGATCAGGAAGATGCAGCAGAGCGGAGGCTCGCAACTCTGTCGATGTCAGCTAGGGAGTTGATCGTGTAGACCAGGTCTCCCTCCTTGTATTTGGCGAAGACCATCTCATTTCTCGTCCAGATGAATCGGAAGCCAGATTGTCTTAAGACAGATCTAGCCTTGCCCAGGAGTCTATAGGTCTTAGTAGAGATGAGCTCGTTAACATTCACTTGACAGTCAGCACCGTTCGGGTCTGCTGGAGAGGAGAAAGATGGCAGGGTGGTACTGTCAACAGCTGAAAACATCAGCTTACCTTTGGCTTTTTTGGCATCAATGATAGCGTGAAGCAACTCGGGGGTGGTAAGTTTGAGACCAATAGATACGCACGAGCGGCGAGGACTACCTGGTTGTTGAAAGGCATCACTTGAGGCAGTAACTGAGGCAGACAGGCTCACCACGTTCCTCATAAATCGAGCAGTGGAGACAGTGGAGGGATCAAGATCAGGTTTCAGTGAAAGCAGAACTGCCAAGGCCAAGGGAAGAGGTTCAGTAAGACCTTCCCGTTCCGGAAAACCAAAGAAGATAAGCTCAGTGCCAACCTGGTGCTGCCCTGCAAAGCGCTGAAGACTGACGGAGCTAGAGTTGACAGCAGCAACAACGCGCTGCAACGTCGCAGCATCAGGGGACGAGGACGAAGCAGAGGTGGCAGGTAAAGTATCCAATTTGGCCGTAAGATCAGCAACAGACGTTTTCAAATCCCGGATCTCTTCACGGTGTTCCGCTACGATGCCCTCAACATCATCCATACGTTTGACCAGCTCAGGCAGGTGGTCCAAGGCAGATAACTTAGACCTGACAGAAGAGAGCTCGGACTTGACGGGGGAGAGCTCGGACTGAACAGAACAAAGCTTGTTGGAAAAAGAATCAAGGTTCTCAGTACGTTTGCAAATCGTCGCTAGGGTCTCAAGGATGTATTTAGTGTTTGCCATATCCAATGGCAATTGCTGATCACCCTGAACACTTAGTTCTGGAACTGATGATTTCGGCAATACAAGTGGGCTAATTCCGCCAAAGCGTGAAGAACCTGAACCAGTAGAGCTGGCAGAACCTTTGCGAGTGCGCATCGATGAAGTCGGAGAAGACATACCTTTGGCCGTGTAGCACGATTGGCACATCCGTATGTTAAACCCATTTGCATTCACAAAAATCTGAGTTTTCATGCATATAGGATGAAAGTTGCAGTCGCAATCACGACAAAGTACCAATTTGCCACCTCCAAGAACGACCACACTTGGCACACACCAGCTTGTCTCCATCGGCCATTTTGTCGGTCGTAAAAATGGCGAGTGAAGTTGAAAGCAGGGATCAGGCACCGTGCTGATAAGCAAACAGCAGTCGATAGAGCAGCTGGCAACGGGCAGATGGTAAAGCAGGCTTCCACACACTGAGTTCAGAACCCACTCACCAGGGCTGACAGGAAATGTGGAAATGAGAGAGACAGCCAATCGATGACAGCGAAAAATTCTAGGTTAGGCGACACACAGGATATTTAGAATGCAGGATTAAAACAAATAATGCAACCAACGGTGAAGTAAATAGTCACCAGGTGTTGGTTGCAAGATAGAGCGTGCAACAAGCCTGCAACAAAAACGCCAGGGGGCAGCAACAAGCAGCAAAAGCGTTCAAGCAAAGAGCGTGAAAATAGTGCGTGTTGTATTACTCACCAAGAGAGAGAGAGAGAGAGAGAGAGAGAGAGAGAGAGAGAGAGCAAGAAGAACAAGAGTTCTTGGAGAACAAGAGTTACTTTAAAAAAAAGATAAGAAAAATGAAACGTGACATAATTTCAAAAATTCAAGTTTTTCCACTTTTTTTTTTTGAAAATTCGGTAGTATGAGCACCTATAAATTGAAAAAAATACTAAAAATATTCTCGTAGATGTATCAAAATCGGATGAATAGAATTGGAGTTATTGAAGAACAAAAAAATAAAGAAAAAATCATATCTCCAAAATTAGCTGTCGAAAAAATTTGCAAAAAATTTTAGAGATAGTTTTTACAGCCTTCCAATCATGGACAAAAATTGAGATCAATTTTCAAGAGGGTGAGAGTAAGCCGTTGACCCATATGACATGGAATACTTCATATTGATTCGGAAAACTTATTCTCCGAGATTTACTACAATTGGCACAAAATCCCTAGGCCTTTTGTGTTGGAGTGGTAAAAATTTAACCATGTGCTAGGAAGCCAAAATTTGGATCATATGTTGTTGGGCACATTGAAAAAATATTACCAAATTTGCAACTATTTCCTCCACGTCATGTCTGTGTGATGTTCCGAATTTTTATAGGGAAAATTAAATTGAAATTTATTGAACTGGGTTAGTACTTGGATGGGTGACCGCTTAGGAACACCTCGCTCGCACAAAAATTGCGGGCGGTAGGTACGGTGTAGCGGCCTAGTGTCTCCATATAGTCAGTGTAACAGATGGATATATTAGGGCACTGCACAATCGGCCGGTTGTGCGACTGGGGTTTTACATGGTTTCCCGTGCAGTCCTAGCTCGAATGGGGCACAGTTAAGAGTAAAACGGCCATGATACAGCAGATAACAATGAGAGGAAAAGAAAGGAGGGGAGGCAGGCTAGAGGAGGGGTTTCAAATCCAGAATTACTTCGATAGAAGCAATGAAATAGAAAAAATAAAACTAAAATTGAAATTTAAAATGATATATTTATAGACATAATGGTAATTAATAAGTCAAATAATTGACGAAACATTTCATCACTTGAACTCAATAAATCAAAACAAAATGGAATTGAGAACAACAGTGATGAAATGCTTCACTCAGCATGCTCCGATTTCTCAACACCAAAATTCGCACATAAGGAGGAAAGATTGAGAAACGATGAACCGAAAAACCCCAAAACCGAGTGAACTACTTTCCTGAAGACGATTAAGAAGTCAGAAAAGTTATACGACATTTTCCACCAATTAAAAATTGACTCATTGGAGCCCCCACGAGTCGAGTGGCTCCCAAAACCCTCTAAAATTTCCAAAAAAATCAAAATTAATCAGTCTTGAAGCAGCGACGGAGCAGTAATAATTCTGGTGGAAATAGTTCACTTAATCGGTCCGGTTTTTCAATCCTTCCTCCGACGATAATTCGCAGAATCGAAATTACGCTGGATAGTTGCCAAATTAATAGCTACGAACAAATGGAATTATCTGGGAATCAAATTTCTTTAACCGAGAGCGGTGACTTTTCTTGCATTTAAGGAGTTTGATTGTTGTGAAGTCTTGTGGACAGTCTCAAACAAACTTTAAACTTCAATTGTTCAAATTTGTTAAAATATTAATAGATTCTAATGAATAGAAGGAAGTGTTTCCGTGAAAGTATACATAATAACGTTTAGCACCGCTAACTGCTGGTGGGGAAATTACGGATACACCTAGGGATCTACAAACAAATCCGAATACTTTTAAAAATCAAACTGAACTGTGAGTAGTAAACCTTTGTGATATAAAATTAGATCCTTCAGATCATTCCAGGGGTACAAATTCTAAATCGATTCTATCGTAAATTTTTAGTAAATAAAATACTTATTTTTGTGACGTTGAAGACTCCAAATTTGTAATTAAAATCAAAATTTAAGTCAGTGCAACTCTAAATTTCTTGATATTTGAATACTTGTGAACTAAATCCTATCACTAACATAAAATTCCTTCCCATTAAATTATTTTCTAATTGAACTACTGTTGTCATTATTCACTGTAATTTGAAAGGTAAGAGTATGAAACTCGCGTCGTCCAATAAATTAAAATTTTTATAATTTTAGCATCTCTTTTCAATATAGCGATTAAAAACATAGTCCTCTCGACGCATAAATATTCTCCGGACATAACAGTTGCGATATACATCGTTAAACATTCAGTTTTGGTGTTTTTTTTCTATTTTTGACGATACATATCTCAACCATGATGTGGACGAAATCACTGAAAGTTTAGTAATCGTTTTTGAACGTTTTCAACATATGATCCAAATTTTGGATCCCTAGCACATTCCGCAATTTTCACTATCTATAAGTGACTAAGAAAGTACATTAAGAAACATGGATCAATTATTTTTTCGAATGATCCCAAAGTATCGTTGAATCGATGTTCTTAGCCATAAAGAATACATTTCATTTTTTGAGGAGACGAAATTATTTCACAATAAAACTACACATTTTAATTCCTTTCCAGACCAATTAGATATAATAACGCAACCAAAAGAAATGGATCCAGGAATCACAGCGTGGAAAGGTGCTGCCATATTCAGTTGTCTCGAATCTGCTCAGGAACTCTGGATTGGACAGCTAGAATGGGAACGCCATGGGGTACGAGTGCTTAGAGAAAGAGCACCATTCATGTGGTGAATTTTTAATAGTAAGAAATTATGTAATGATCGTATAAAGGTACAAAAGTATGCAGTGATTTTCTAGAGGTCAAAATAATGATACTTTCCATAAATAATCAATTTTTTCCATTATTAATCCTTTCATACGTTTTATGTGAATCTAAATGAGGTCCATTAGACGAATTTTTTTTTTATTATTACGATGATGTGCTGCTACATCTGCTTCTATAAGAAAATTCACGCAGTCAACTGATCGTAGATTCACATCGATGTAAACTTCATTACCCCCTTTCATATGAGATGATGTCAAATCCTGAAATACCATGGAATTTGTACAATTCTATGAATTCGAGGACTGTGAAGGCGTTCGAAATACTTACTGCAAGTACTTCTTGGAAGTCTTCGTTACTGACCGTTGTGGCTGCCACGAGTTGTCCCTGAATAACGTACAATATATTAGATATTAGATCAAATCAATCATATTTTTACACAAAATGTCGCAAAAATTTAAATCTTTAAGAGTACAAGAGAATGATATTGTAAATGGAAAGTTTCTTTTAAACGTTCGGTTTCGGACTCTGGATAACGAGTTATTACTTAATGAAGTTGAAAAGGATGGTAGCGATGGCCGGACTTGCAATGGAGTAATGACTATTGGACCCGATTGGGAAGGAGAAGGGTTCCTCTAAATGGGATATAAGCACGTTTTGCCTTGATTTATTTGGCCTAAACAGATCGGAATCAACCACCTTCGTCCTCACCCACCTTTACTCCGTCTTTGACACCAAAAAGTCAACCCTCACGGGTTAAATTTTTTTTGTATATGTTTAATATAAGCGTCTACGTCTGCTCTGATTTTCAATTCATAAACGAGTTTTGTAAATTCTCGAAAAATTTATGCATGTTTGACAAAATATATGTGCCATTCCATCAAATATCATAGAAAAGTCCAGCCTCCATATTTTCAATAAATTTTCTTTTCTTCTTTTAAATACTTATGTATAGAAAAGGAGATTTCTCGGCTAGGAAAGAAGGCACAGCATATTTACAAGCTCTCTGAATGTTTCTGGCGTGAAATTCTCCGATCTCATTTAACCTGTTCGAAAATGTTTTAAAAAAACAAATCATAGTTTTTAACCCCTAAGAGGTCGCGCTTTTCTAACATCTCACTCTCTCTACAGTGACGCTCTATAGGTTGCGTATGCTTTAGCGGGGCTTCCCTCACGATGCGACGACTTAAGAATTAATCAGAAATTTTCTGAATTGAAAAAAAAGGCAGTCATTTTGCTCCCCCACTCCAACTTCAGGGGGAACATCGACAAATAAAATTTTGAACATTTATTTAAGCTTGTTTTCCACTTTTTTGCCTGGATGTGATAAATTTTTTGGGAAATTCAAAAAATTTCGGATTAAAATCATATCTAAACAAGTAGGGATTCGGGCCTTCTTGGTAGAAGCCATCTGACTGTGTGTTATAACTCTTTTTTTTTTCATTTCTACCAATTCCATTGGTAGTAAGCATCAGAATAGATCTCTACCAATTCTATTTGAAAAAATGGTAACATTAATTCCGTTCAAATCCGATATCAACAATGCGACAAAAAAAATCTGCCTGCTGATTCGAAAACAATATCTTTTCCACTCAGGGGGTGCAAAGTTCACATTTCCCTTCCGCTTAGTGTAATTCCGCATGTGGGTATGATTCTTCCCTGTGCATGTGACAGGGAGTGTGTTTTGTATGAATTTTTTCATCATGAATTTTTTTATCAAATGGTTTCAGTCTAATGGAGCCTCAATGTAAATAGACAACAGTTATCCATGTCGAAATTACGACTTGCATTTGGCTAGCTGCTCGGTTGCAATGTTAGTTACAATCTAACAGCTAGGTAGCCGAATTAGCCTGACACTGCGGGCATCGGTTTCACTGGATAGCGCTGTGTATGGGTTGCGTCTACATGTGAGCTTGCAGTAGTAGGCTTCTACATTGTCGCACAAACTTTTATATCAGTATAGATATTTTCGAATTAAACATGCAATGTGTATGCACAATTGTCAGTTTTATTCAGATTCAATTTGTATACAAAAATCATTTAGATATTATATTGATGGAAAAAATTATTCTTTGATTGGAAATAAATTCGTACAGCAGTATGTAGACGATAAAAACTATATAACTCATGATAATGCAATCCTGGGTTTTGAATATATCAAAAGTCTACATCTTCATCCGAAGTATTCAGCATGTCTTCATGTTTGAAATCGGTCAATTATCGCGGGCCACTAGGCCCAGCTCAGCTCAGCTCGGGGTAATGACTCGGTGGTAGCACCTGACGGACTGACTCGCCGTTACCGACCGACCACACAGCTACGCATTTTTCACACCTCATGTTCACTATCGTTCCGGAAATGATCACATATACTTCGCGTATAATTGCCCGCTCAGTTAATCCTTTAGTCTGTCTGCTTATTAAATTCAATTTATAGTTCGGCTCAATCTTAATTATTATCGCAGTGCTCAGCTCGACTATTATTTGCATTTTTTTGTGACTGTTGAACATTTAATTGAGTGATAATATATTGTGTTTCGTGGAAACAACGTGCATGCAGTGATTTTTTGGACGTACGCCCGAAAATCCATCGACATTTCACCCATCCCTCATATACTCCACCAATCCTACAGGGTGTCCCATAGCATGTGACCAAAGTAAATTGTAAATAACTTGGATACAGTAAAATGTAAATAATGGTTCTTTTTTATTGTACAAGGAACATTCGGCAAATTACAATACAATTCCTTCCAAGTGTTTGCTATCACTTGTACTACAGAACTCTATCCTGCGTTCGAAACTGGTATGGATGCGCTGTATTGTGTTTTTATCGACATCTCTGCGTCTTGCAACTCTCCCACTGTCGTCGGATGCTTCTCATAGAACTTGTCCTTGAGAAAACCCCATAGGCAAAAAACGCAGGGATTTAATTCCGGACTGTAAGGCGGCCATTCCATGCCCCCATGGGCATACTTGAGGTGACCTAAGCCTAACACATGAGTGCCGTTAACGGAAAAAAAGTATTTCAAATACTCCAGCAGTCCTATGTGGGGCGGCACCATCTTGCATGAAGGAGAAATTCTTGACTAACTGATTTTTTCGTACCCAAGGAAAGAAGTTCTTCAAGAACTCACAGTAAATATCAGCACTAATTGTCGGACTCTCAATAAATTCAAGGAAAATACCTTTTATTGTAATTGCCGCTCATGCAGTAACTTTTTTCGGGTGTGAGGACTTGGTTTCAATAACGTGAGGTGACTCAGTCTCCCAAAAGCGAAAATTTTGTTTATTTATTGGGTGTATGAATATGACTCCGCCTTTTTTCGTTCAAATAAAACACATTTGCTTGTTTAGAAAATTAAAGAAAAGTTTATTGAAAGTATGCTCTATCTGCAGCTACAACCTTCGCCCATCTTTCAGATAATTTACGTATGCCTTGCCTGAAGAAATCCTGGTCTTTTGAGCTGATCTAATTATCAAGCCAAATTTTGATACTTTCGTATGAAGTAAACCGTTCTCCCGTAAGATCTGACTGCAGTGTTCGGAATAAGTGGTAATCCGAAGAAGCCATGTCTGACGAATCTGGCGCGTGGAGTAGCACTTCCCAGTCCTGTCCATCTAAATATCTTTTCACACCTTGGACGGTATGCGGTTTGGCATTGTCATGTTGAAAAATTAATTTACTGTGCCTATTCACCCATTCTGGTCGTTTTTCTTCTATGGTTCACTTCAAACGCATTAGTTGTCGTCGGTAAACTTCTCCATTAATAGTTTGAGAGGGTTCGAGCAACTAATAATATACAACACCTCTCTGATCCCACCAAATTCAGAGCATAACCTTGGCACTGTGAATATTCCTTTTTGGCTGGGATGGGCCGGGTTCACCTGGCTTCATCTCCTGTGACTATTCGATGCAAAAATCCTTTTCTTTGCTGTCTTTGACGTAGCATTTCACAAATTGTTTTTCGACGTTCGATGTCTCTTTCTTTCAATTCATATGGAACCCAGTTACCAACTTTTTGAACCATTCCCATTGCTTTTAAACGCTTTGCAACAGTTTATCCTTCAACATTTAATGCTGCAGCGAATTCTGACTGAGTTTGGCAAGAATCCTCTACCAATAATGCCTCCAATTCAGCATCTTCAAATTTTTTTGGTGGTTTTCCAGGGTTCTCTGTCCTCAGTGCCAAAATCATTACTTTGAAATCGTCGAAACCATTCCTTGCAAGTTGTATTAGATGGAGCATGCTCACCGTAAATCTCTACAAGCAAACGATGAGTTTCCGCTACACTTTTCTTTGCAATATAATAGTATATGTAATAACACTTCCCGCAAATGATGTTTACTTGGAACGAAAACCGACATTGTCACGGAGGTAAAAACACTTGTTGCTTACAATTCAACCAAATGTCACGTAGTGCGTTTGACAGCTGACATAAAGTACTATCAAATACAAGTGTTGCCATTTATTAGTGCACGTAAGCAATACTAAAAACAATATCTGGGAAAGGGCGGAGTCATCTTCACACCCCTAATACTAAGCCACCTAAGTAGAAATGTGCTTCGTTCCAGAAGATGATATTCTGTGCCTTCATTTCCTTGGATTCAAAAAAATTGTGAAGTTCTTGGCAAAATTGCACACGGCGAGCCATCGCCTCCTCACTTAAAAATTGATGTACAGAAATTTTGTAGGGATGGAAGTTTAAAAACACTTTCAAGATGCGGCGAAGTGAAGTTTTTGAAACTTTCAAGGTTTGAGAAGCCTTTCGAAGAGTATCATTTGGATATTTTTTGAAATGTTCTTCAGTTATGCGGACAACTTCATCCGTGGTTACAGTACGTGAGGACCAGGATGCTCATGCCTTCTATCGTCTAGTGTACCGTACTGATCAAATTTCTTAATTATCCTGAAAATACTTATAATTGGTCGAAAAATGCGTCAATTTTCAACAAAAGAAGAAAACAAAATTTTTTAGTTAGTTCATTCACTTTATTTACCATTTGAGACTCGAATCAGACACTTCAGTGTGTGCCATACTTAGAATGAAATGCTCTTATATCTGCAGTAGCTGAATCTTCTTTTCGGTAATATAATTTGATGAGGAATGATTTTTGTTCGCTGGTTAAATTTTCCATTTTAGTGCTGCAATTCCCGAGCGACTGAAGCATGAGTGAAATTTGCGGAGAGTCTCCACGTCAACCATATATTAGACTTTAGACTGCACTGCCACCTTGCGGTATTCTGCGCAATTTACTTTGGTCACATGCTATGGGACACCCTGTAGATTCGATATCGAACATTTTAGTCCTTCAAGCCGAATTGGTGGAATATTTTTCGGTTTTTTGTTTTTCCACGGTTTCGGGAGTGTTGTCTCCAAATCTGCAGCAG